TGTTCTGGGTATTCCATTCTTTGGGGATCAGTTCATGAACATGGCACGAGCTCAACAATCAGGCTATGGACTTACTTTAAGATTCACCGAACTGACAGCTGAGACCTTTAAGAATTCCATTAATAAACTACTCAGTGATCCGAGCTACACTCAAAAAGTGCACGACATGTCCGTCAGATTCCGGGATCAGCATGAAACGCCGCTGGAACGCGCCGTGTATTGGGTGGAGCATGTGACCAGGCAGAAGGGCGCTCGATATCTGAGAAGTGCCTCACAAGATCTGAACTTTATACAGTACTATAATTTGGATGTTCTTATTATGATCATTGGAGGCTTGGGATTTATTATTGTTGGGTTTTTAAAGCGGAAAAAAGTAATGCACTAGGTTTGGCGGTTAGACTAAGAAGAATTTATTCAATGTATTCTTAAGTAAAGGTATCGAGCGCAGTATCGATATCTTCTGATATTAACATTAGTAAACGGAATGTTGTATTGATCTTTTACACATTTTCAACACTCCCCTCCCTCAATACACATTATTGACAATTAATTTGAGACCAAGCAATCTATTACAATTTTCATGTTTTAACTTGCTCAAATTCTTAGTTAAGATATCTGCCATCATTTGACTCGTTGGACAATATTCCAGCTGAATCACAAGCTTATTAAAAACTTCTCGCACGAAATGATAACGAATATCTATATGCTTGCTTCTTGCATGGTAAACTGGATTTTTAACTAAGTTCATAGCGCTCAAATTATCGCCATGAATTACAATACTGTTCATATTTCTGTATATGTTCATTTCGTTACATAATTTCAGAATATAAACAGCTTCTTTAGTTGCTTCCGACATTCCCATATATTCGGCTTCAGTACTACTTAGTGCTACTGACGACTGCTTCTTGCTTTCCAGTGTACGACTTTCGGTCCGTGTTATCTCCACCCCAGTCCGCATCAACGTAGCCTTTGATGGGATTTCCAGTTTTAGCATATGTTATGCCCATTGAAGACGTCGTCCTCAGATATCGCAGCACTTGTTTTGCTGCTGCCCAGTGCTCTTGGTGGTGATCCGTATTCCGTTGAGACAGCTTACATACTGAATGTAAAATGTCAGGTCTGGATGCAACTGCCAGATACATTAATGATCCGATCAGTGACTGGTATTCTGCCTGGTTGACCGTTTTGCATTGTTGGCTCTCACATTTGGTGGTGTACGCGGACGCCAATTGTACTGATGCTGGCCGACACGCTTCCATGCCAAACTTCTTAAGCAGCTGCAACACATGCTGCTGCTGGGTGATCGTTATCGCCCCTATTATGCCCTTGTCAACCACCTGGAAAATTCGAGATATACTTTCTTTTATACAGGCCAACTCACCAATATCTGATGAACATATCATCATATCATCCACATATACTGCGATTATGTTTATGTTGTTTTGTGTATGCCTAGTATATACACACAGCTCGCTTGGACAGGCGGAAAACCCAATTTTTGTCATCATCTCGTTCAGCTTTTTGTTCCACATCCGTCCAGACTGATTTATCCCATATAAGGACTTTCGACGTTTAAGAACAGACACTCCTTGTTCTTCAAACATACGGGGTTGCTTCATGAAAACATCCTCCTGCAATTCTCCATTTAGGTATGGCGTGGATACATCAAGTTGGTGCACATGCAGCTCCAGTTCAGCTGCTATGGCCTACACCATCCTTATTGTCGCATATCGCACTACTGGCGAAAACGTTTCGTCGTAGTTCACTCCGTGTTTCTGGCTGCAGCCCTTTGCTACTAGCCTAGCCTTGTATCGTTCTATGGTGCCATTTTTGTCACGTTTTAGTGCGAAGACCCATCTGCATCCAATCGCCTTATGATTGGATGGTAATTCGGCTGGTTCCCAAGTTCCATTCACTTTCAGTGCTCCGAATTCTTGTGCCATGGCCTTTTGCCATTCGATCGCCTGTGAACTTTCCAATGCTTCTTCCACAGTTTCTGGTGTTACGACGGCATCACTGCTCACAAGATTCAGCTTGTGCCTCTGGTCTGGTCTTCGCCATCCGTGCCCACTTGTTCTTTCAAGTCGGTTACTTTTCTTGCAGATTTCACTTTTATTGGTAACGGTGTTACCGTTATCTTCGCCGGCGCCTTTGCTGCTGCCTCTGCTGCTGGCTCTGCTGCTGCATCTGCTGCTACTTTTGCTGCTGCCTCTGCCGCTGCCTCTGCTGCTGTCACATACACATGCACGATTGTTTTTAAAGTTTACAGTGCAGCCTCCTTTTACTGCTCTGCTCACCGAAATAAAGTTGCATTGTAATTGTGGCACATAAAGTACGTTTGTAAGTTTTACTGTTGACGATTCCGTTTTAATCATGACAACTCCTCGACCGACTACTTCTAGTGATTTTTCACCAGCAAGTGTGACTGTATCAGTGAATTGCTCAAACGAATTAAACATATTTTGATTTGCGCACATATGAGCTGTGGCGCCACTATCTAAGCACCACGCTGACTTATCAAGCAATTGTTCACCGTTTTTTGCACTTAGCAAAGTGAAGAATGATTTTTCGTCTCTTCCTTTTGCATGACCTTCGTTCGCCTTGGACCTACATTCTGCAGAAATGTGGCCAATTTTACCGCTATTGTAACACTTGATTTTTTTGTTTCGGTTCTTGCCTACTTTGTCTGTCTTTTTTGCACTCTCTTTAGGGTAGTGTGCTTTGCTTAAAAATGCCTGTGCATTATTTTCGTTCACACTCTCTCTATGTGCTTCGCTCTTGCGTATATCACTTTCTTCGATCAATCTAACCTTCAAAGTACTAAACTTTGGTAATTCATCACGTGATTCCAATGCTACAACCAAATTTTCATATGATTTAGGTAAACTTACCAAGAGTAAAATAACATATATTTCTTCTTGCAGCACAATGCCAATTTCTGTTAACTGCTCCACGGTGTTCACAAAATTTGCAATATATATTTGTATGTTCTCATTCTCGTTCATCCGCATGAAGAGTAATCTCTTGAACAATGTGACTTTTCTCACTGGACCGGTGGGCTGATGCACTGCCTTTAGGGTTATCCACGCACTCGACGCCGATTCACATTTCTTAATGTGACCAATCTCAGAGCCTCTTATTGAGAGAGTAATCACCGCTAAAGCCTTTTCGTTTTTTGATAACCACTGACTATATTCACTCGTCTTGTCTGAGCTTGGACATTTCATAGCTCCCGAAGTGACGGACCATAGCTCCTGGTGAATTAGCACACTTTTCATTTGGACACACCACGAATCATAATTAGTTTCGTCCAACTTGTCTATATTGTACAGCGCACTCATTTTTCGCTCGTACTTGTTCTCACACAGAAAACTTTAGTTGGTAATGCACACAGCAATACAAAATTATGCAATTCTAATGAAAAAATGACACTCGACCTTAAATGCGGCTTTTCAGCATAACCTTAGTTTCATTCAACTTTTTCTTTTATGCCTGGGCCCATAACCTTTTGTTTTTAAAGCGGCAAAAAGTGATGCACTGGGTTTGGCGGTTAGACTAAGAAGAATTTATTCAATGTATTCTTAAGTAAAGGTATCGAGCGCAGTATCGATATCTTCTGTTATTAACATTAGTAATCGGAATGTTGTATTGATCTTTTACATATTTTCGACAGTTATATTTACTTTTGTCTACCTGTTGATGGCTCTTATTAAAGTAATTGCAAAGAAAATTGGAGGTAAACCAAAGAAAGCAAAACGAAATTAATAAAAATTATTAAAGTATTTTCTTTTTTATGTAGTTTTTGTAAATAATATTTTAAAAATGGCAAGACCAGCTTACTGAGAAAATTGTTTTAATGCCAGTCTTCATAAATATTTATAAGACTGTTTAAATCGCAGAAGTTGAGTTTGGAAATTAGTTTTTGTTGGAAAATAAAACAAAACTGTTTGAAATAAAAGGAGCGCATTAAATAGTTTAGTAAATAATTTTTCACTCTTCCAAAAGCACTGATTCAAGAAGAGATAGGAACAAGAGAAAATGCAGTTGAGCAATAAATTTCGCTTTGACTCTTTGAGAACACAGCGGCTGAGAGCGCGACTAGAAAAATGTGAGAGTGAGCGCTTGATTCAAAATCATAGAGAAGTAAATGGAATATGCAATACACTTTGAGTATGCATATAGCATAGACGTGAATTATATACATATATGTTCTCTATTATATCGTCAATGAAATACCGGCTGAGCAACCAAACAAAATGTTTTTATGAGCAAACAAAAGCCGGCGGCGGATTTAATCGCGAATGACGAATCAAAGCAAACTAAAATAAACAAAAATAAAGACTGATATGAGGCGACAACTAATCCATTGTAGTAAACCAGACAAATAACATGTTATTCCTTGCCTGTCGAAAGCACCAATATATCGCTCAGACGGCTAGCTATCGGCTCAGGGGTAGTTCGACCGCGATATATTGGGCGGCAAGTTAACAAAAAAAATTTGTATTCTTTTAAAAATAAAAAAAATAAAAAAATATTTCCATCAAACCAGTCCGCTCGCTGCTGTGTTGGATGTGTGGATGTTGTACAGCCTGCGTGTCCCTCCCTTCCTTGTGATTCCTCCTCTAAATTTCCTGGAGAAATTCCCTTTCATAATTATTTCTTTGTCGTTTGCTTCTTATGCCCTCATCTCACCCAATCACATTAATTTACCACCTCATGCTCATTTTTTTAGACTATTTAATTTACAACTCATGAGATATATGTGACATCGTGATCCCTAACATTTTGTTGGCCAACACTAAATTCGCTTATATATATTTAATACAATTTTATCTATCGACTTAATTTAAAGCTTACAAAATATTTATTTTTTTTTCATTTCTTTTATTTGGCTTCAAAAGTGCGCATCATTGATTGACAAAATGAGCATCACTATTGTATTGGTTAGGGCCGATCAGCTGTTTTTGGCTCACTCTGCCGCAATTAGGCGGGAACAAACTCACAGATGTGTTGATACAATCCGAATCGTCTCACGGTCTCCGGGCTTTGATTTCTTGGTTCCTAGTAATACATAGTTTCTTTTATATATATTTACAGATTTGGAATTGGAATTTTGTCAGTTTTGCACGAGCATGTGGCGCGTTTGGATCGTTAATAGAAAACAGTCGCAAATCTAGCGAGTGTTGAAAGTGAATTTTAGAACAATCAACAATTAATTGCTTTTATTATTATTATTATTCCGATATTGTGCTTAACAAAGAACAAAACAAATGTCGCAATCAAGTAGTAAGGTTGGTTTCATTGGCCTCACATTGCTATGCCTGCTGAGCTGCGTGGCTTCCTATAATTATATGGTGGTGTTACCCTGTGCCGCTCGTTCCCATTACAATGTGGGCTCGGCCCTGGCCAAGGGTCTGGCAGCAGCTGGTCATCAGGTGACACTGGTGTCACCCTTTGCGCTCAAGAAACCCATTAAGAACATAAATGATCTGCCAGTGCCGAGCATCTTGAAAGCTATGAGCGGTAAGTAATCGTCTTTCGTCTATTGGCTTGTAATTTAATAATCGTTATGATGAAAATAAGGCGAACAATCCGCAATCCAACGACCTGTGAATTAAACAATTAGCACTACCCAGTTACGTAAACGAGGCTTTATTAGCTTATCAATTCAAGCAAGCAAGAATGGAGGCAGAAAGTCCCCTAACAGGACCAGAACCGTATTGTGGCATAGAGAGACACACTATACGACTGGAATTTAGAAACGAGGAGAGACAGAGACGGCATCAGAGCTGGTCAGAGGCAGTAGGACTCTGACAAGCCAGATGCCTCCTTGGTGGTTATAATCTTGTACGTTTTAAACAGATTATAACCATGAGAAAGAACAACCTTAGGATACTTACCGATCTATTGACACGACACTGTAGACTAAGGAGTCACCTGACAAAATTGAGTATATATAGTAGCGATCTCTGCAGGTTTGGTGAAAGAGAGGAGGAATCCTCGATGCACATCCTGGCAGAATGTGTCGCCTTAATTAGAAGAAGAAGCAGCATCCTAGGGGCGCATGTTTTGAATTGCAAAGACATAGTAGACCTCAACCCAACAAAGATCCTCACGTTCGTAAGGGAGTTGGGGCTGATGGAAGAGCTATAGGCTCAGAAGGGGGGCACAATAGATCAAATAGGTCGCGGTGCAGCTTCCCCTCTAATAATAATAATAGCTTATCAATTAAAAAGCCTCCACCTTCCTAACAAATATTTCACGAAATTAATATTGTTTCTTTCAGTGTGGCTAGTGAATATTTAATTTAATCTGGACAAAATGATAATACTAAAATGATAAAGAAAATAACTTTAATATTTTAGTTCAGTTCAATTATATACTATGTATTTAGAAATTCTATTTAAAACAATTTAAATGCAGTGTATTACAAGTTTTGAGAGAATACTGACTTTTTTACATAACAATCTGTTGAGTTTGATTTTTGTGTTTACTATTTTCAGTGGATAAAAGTAGTTAATTATTCAGATATCAGATAACAGAAATATTAAAAATTGAAATTCACACTTCACGAACGCATTTTACTTCGAGGCATTTAGCTAAACTTTTTTCCTGACTTTCCAGGCGATATTGGCAACCTGTTAAAAACCTCCGAGGCGTCCATTATCCAACAAATTTTGGGTTTATATGATATGGGTAAGTTCACAAGCAAATAATTATTAATATGCACCTGTAAAATGAGTCGTTATTGTTGTAGGCATACGGCGAACTGGGGTATTGCTAAGCGACTCTAGTGTAATTGAGCTGATGCAATCTAATCAGACATTCGATGCTGTCATCTGTGAGGTGTTCCTCAACGAGGCTCAATTTGGTCTGGCGGAACATTTCAATGCGCCGCTCATTGGAATGGGCACCTTTGGTGCCATCAGCTGGAATACTGATCTGGTTAGCTGTCCTGTGCAAGAATTCTCAAGAATCACCTAATACTTTATTTTCCATCAGGTTGGCACACCATCGCCGCCTTCATATGTGCCGCATCCGTTGCTCAAGTTCTCGGATCATATGTCGTTGGTGCAGCGCGTCATCAATTTGGCCTTCCTCAGCTACGAATATCTGTTTATGGAACTGTACTATTTGCCGCAGCAGGAGCAACTCTACACAAAGTATTTCCCCAACAACAAACAGAACTTTTACGATATGCGTAAGAATACGGCTCTGATGCTGCTCAATCAGCACGTCTCGCTGAGCTTCCCCCGTCCCTACTCTCCTAACATGATCGAAGTGGGTGGCATGCACATCAATCGCAAGCGCCAGCCTCTGCCTCAGGACATTGAGGAGTTCATTAAGGGTGCCCAGCATGGCGTCATCTACTTCTCCATGGGCTCTAATCTGAAGAGTAAGGATCTGCCACAGCAAAAGCGTCTGGAACTGATTAAAACGTTTTCAAAGCTCAAGCAGCGCGTTCTGTGGAAATTCGAGGAACCCAACTTGCCCGGCAAGCCGGAGAATGTCTTTATCTCAGACTGGTTTCCACAGGACGATATATTGGCTCATGAAAATGTTATTTTGTTCATAACACACGGCGGCTTGCTCAGCACCACAGAGTCAATTTATCATGGAAAACCATTTGTGGGCATTCCTATGTTTGGCGACCAGTTCTTGAATATGGAGCGCGCCGAGCAGAATGGCTATGGCAGGAGTCTTGTCTATGAGCAACTGTCAGCTGAGCGACTTCTGGCAGCCATTCAACAGCTCATAGAGGATCCAAAAGCCAACGATCTTGTCAAGGCTATGTCCGCTCGCTACAAGGATCAGCCCCAGTTGCCGTTGGAGCGTGCCGTCTACTGGGTGGAGCATGTGACCAGACACGGTGGTGCGAGATACTTACGCAGTGCCTCACAGGATCTGAACTTTGTGCAGTACCACAACCTGGATGCCATATTGATACTTTATGGCGGCATTTTGTTTGTGCTCTACTGTATCGCATGGCTCACAGACAAATTTGTGGATTACCTCATCCTGGATGCCATATTGATACTTTTTGGCGGCATTAAGTTTGTGCTCTACTGTATCGCATTGCTCATATGTTGCGCGTGGCGAGCCCTGCAGAATTTCTTTATGGGCCGAAAAACGTCGCAGGATAAAATGAAGCAACACTGAGTATAAATCACGCGTAAGCTTTTGGATCTGTTTATATCCTATTTTGTAAATGATAACTATAAATTTTGAGCCACATTTTATGCTCTTCCCTTTGCTTTGGCTCATCAGAATGGCTATGAGAGCTAAAGCTGTTTTCGGTGCCGGCTCCAAATACAATAAAATGAAAAATATTTTGTGGAGCTATTGAAGATTTTCACCTCACACGCTGCCACGCAGCTTCATCTCTATTATTTTCGATCGATTTTTGAACAATTTCGTTGAACATTTTCCAATATTTCCTTTTCCATACCCTGTACAGCTATGAACTCATTTAGTGTATGTATTATGTTCATTGTCGAGCCAAGCACGTGAAACAAGTTACGTTTTGTCGATAACTTCAATTTTTTTTCTACAGGTATTGATTTCTTAGCTCATTTAGAGTTTTGTAGAGAGAAGCTTCAAGTTGGGTCCACTTTTCTGCAGAACTGTTGTTATTTTGAGTTTATATATTCATTTTTTTTTTTGGGCACATAGTTAACGCTTCTGTTGTAAAAATGCCCATCAGCGCGTTAAAATTTTTAACAGTTAGCAGTGGAGAACTAATGCCATGGCCACGCCCACAAAACCCCAACGCCCCCACGACCAGGCTCAACGCTTTTATTTTCTTCGCCGGTCGCTTTTTTCGACAGTTGTTTGCCGGACGGCCATGGATGGAATCTGTTTTTGCAAAGGCGGTTTTTTTTTTTTGAGGTTGTGGCTGGGAGGAGTGGGTGGTGTGCAAAAGGCGTATAAAAGTTTTAGCAAAACTTATTGAAACTGTTTTGGGCCATGGCCGCGCTGGAAAATCAGCGTCCGCGCCGGAAATGTTGGCGGCTGTAATGGCGGCTGCCGCATTAAAACTGCACGTCAAGAAATATACAAAACAAAAAAAAAAAAAAATAAAATAATGGTAGATGGTAGAACTATGGGAAAGTTGTTTTTGTGGTGGCTGCTGCTGTTTCTGGGATTTCTGTTGAAACTTTAGATATTCATTTACTATTCCAGGAAGCTCTTAAGCTTTTATACAGGCATGATCTACATATGTAATTCTATATATATAAGACTAAAATGCGCATTGTTTGTCAGCTTTTGTGTTAATATTTTTTTATTTTTACTTTTTTAATTACACTGCTCAAGAAAAGTATTGCCACACAAAGTGTATTTCGCATGACTTAAAAACGATTCATCTATATAAAAGCTGAGCAAATTGCCTTCAATAACTGCAGAAAACAAGCCCTAAAGAAACCCTTAAAAGCATATCAAATATATCCAATTAAAATATTTTAACATTACATGTAGATCAATTTGTGCCAAACAAGTAAAGGAAATACTTAATTTGAACGTTTCAACTACATCAATTAATTGTAATTGCAATATTCTTGCCGTACGCATACAGTTGAGCAGCAATGTATTCTAGCTATATAAATTTCAGATGTTTTGTGGTTTATTTTAAATCGGTCATTGAGCGACTTCTGGAAAAACCCCAGTCGCTGTTTGGAGAACCCCCGACTATTTCTATAAATGTGAAACTTTGCACCTGAATCCAATCAGTATGCGTCTGGGCGTTGTCTCAACATGTTCAATTTGCCAGCGTTCGTTTGCCTGCTGCTATGTGGATCTGTCCTGGGCATTGAGGTGGACCTAGAGTTGGGCCGTATCAGGGGCATCAATCTGACCTCTCGGCTGGGCGTGCCCTTTCATGCATTTCGAGGCATACGCTATGCGGAGCCGCCTTTGGCTGAGCTGCGTTTCAAAAATCCTCAACCCGTAAGGCCTTGGGCACCAGTGACGTTAGATGCCAGCCAGGACGGACCAATGTGTCCGCAGCCGTGGAATAATATGACAGATGTGTCCGAGGACTGTCTGCGTTTGAATGTCTACACAAAGAGTGTCAATTCAAGCACTCGTTTACCGGTGATTGTGTTTCTGCATCCCGGCGGTTTCTATGTCTTCTCCGGGCAGAGTAAATACTTTGCCGGCCCAGCACATTTAATGGACCGCGATTGTGTACTTGTCACGCTCAATTATCGGCTGGGCAGCCTGGGCTTTTTAGCCACGGGCAGCGCTGATGCCCCCGGCAATGCTGGCCTTAAGGATCAGGTGCTGGCGCTGCGCTGGATACAGCAGCACATCCATCGCTTTGGGGGCGATGCCAACTCAGTGACGCTGTTGGGCTACAGTGCCGGCAGCTTGAGCATTGGCCTGCACATGTTGTCACCAATGTCGCGAGGTCTCTTCCATCGCGGCATCTGCATGAGTGCCTCGCCGTATGGCCAGTGGGGCTACGACGAGTCGGATTTGGGTCTGGCGCAGAGACAGGCGCGTCTGCTGAAGTGTCCGGAGCAGCCAGCCAAGGAATTGGTCAGTTGCCTGCGTGGTAAGCCAATGTTGGATTTTGTAAGTACATATAATGGTATGTTTGAGTTTGGCTGGAATCCGGTGCTCAACTGGCGGCCAGTCATCGAACAGGATTACGGGCAGGAGCGTTTTCTGGTCGAGCATCCGTATAAAACGGCACAGAGTGGCCAATTCTACAAGGTACCCCTCATCACGGGCATCACCGAATTCGAATTTCTTTCTGGCGCATTCTGTAAGTAAACGAAATTATTGTCTATCATCGCTTTCTAATCCTCTCCAACTAATAGTTGATCTGCGCAATGAGAGCATACGCACGCAGCTGAATAACAACTGGGACCACTTGGCACCCATTGCGCTGCTCTACGAACGGGATACGCCCCACTCAAAGAAAGCCAGCACTGTGCTGCGCCACGAGTATCTGGGCAACGGACCCATTGCGAATCCTGAATCCCTGCAGGGCTTGGGCAGACTCTACAGTGATGCCCTGATTGGCGTCGAGTATCATCGCTTTATGCGCCTTATGTCCCCACATACGCCCATTTACACGTATTACTTTCGCTACAAGGGACGTTATAGCTTCTTAAAGCATCCCGACACCAATCAAACATTTGGTATGTACTTACTGACAGAAAGAAGAGGATTTGTATTTTAATTACTAATTTGTTACAGGCGCTGTGCACCACGATGAGCTCTTGTACTTGTTTCACGTACCGATCCTAACTCCACTCTTCAACCAGACTGATCCCGAGAATTTGATAATTGAACGACTCACGCGCATGTGGACAGAGTTTGCCAGGAAGGGGTAAGTATAGATGAAAGCAACGCGATTACTTAATAAAACACTAAACTCTCTATAGTGATCCACACAATGCCACCGATAAATACTTGTGTGATCTTCACTGGCCTCTGTACAATCCTGATGATCGCAAATATTTAGAAATCGATGTAAATCTGTCTACAAAAACTGGTAACATAAATGAAGAACGTTACAGAATTTGGGATAACTTGTTTGCTTATCCGTCTTTCTGAATAGGTTATTCTATTGGAATAACATTTATATATATATTCGTTCGTTATAAATCATTTGAATGCACAATATATTTTAAATATTTTAAATTTTAATATTATTCACTGCATGACTTGAACGACAAATTAGTTATATAGTAAACATATTCTTGCTATATATGTACATAGATATGCCAAGTTATTTCTTATATCAATATAGGTTTTCAAATAAATGAAAGAGTTGCGCAAATTTCAATTGTTGATTTATTTTTTCCAATTTGCTTCAACTTTATAGCCTTCAGATAAACACACAGAATATATTCAAGAAATATATTATATGAATAAAAATATATATTTCATTTTAGATATACATATATATACATACAATTTAATATGGGGAACAAAGAAAAATTTATTTAAATTTTTTAAGAATATATACAATTGTTTTGTTTTATATACATATATATATTTTTAAAATAAGAATCTCACAAATATAAAAGTAAAATTTTTTTGGTCAACTTTACATTCTTGTTTTTTCTTCTCCCTTAGTAAATTAAATGTATATATATATATATATATATATATATATATGTATATATATATATATATTGTGTTTATATTCACAGATTAAGATCTAAAATTAGGGGCGCACTCAAACTGATAAGCTATGTGAGAAATTTGTGAGCTCTTAGCCGAGAATCCGACAACTGCATCCGAGCAACAATGTCTGACAGAGCAATTAAATAACTATTTAGCGTTGGCAGCATATTTTCCGAAACTATCCTGCAATTTGCGATGCTAGCAAACCGAGCAAACGCAATCACTCCTCACACCTGCTAAATATTTCAAAAGATTTTTATAAAAATAGACGTGGAAACGGATATGCAAATCCCAGACACAAGGAGGTTCTCGTTCCATTTTTTTTGCACTCAAATAACGAGGCAACTGAAAAAAAATTCTTGAGTCAACTGATTTGCTGCTCGCACATATTTTTCACAGATTGTCATTGATTTTTTGTCACATTGGCGAACTGAAAATTTCACGTTGAAAATGTTTCCCATGTAACACTTAAGCTTAACTAAGTAAATGGATTTTATTTAAGCTCAATCGAGAGTTGGTGACCTTATGATCCACTATTGTATAATAGATTATCGCTCTTTTATATACATTCTTTCTTAGCAATCTAATGCCAATTTATTTATTAACACATGTCATTATTTTAACACAATTTAAGAACGCTTTCAAATAAAAGTACCGATGAAAAATGTCGCCTTAAAAAACTATATTTTACTCGTGCTTCGAAGCACTGGCAACACAAGATTATGTGGTGTCTGTGCTCAATACATTTGAGAATAGTCCCATTTCGTTGAGTAACAAACAAATTTCATCAGTATCATTATGACTTTATTAGCATTTTGCTTGGTTGTTTTTTTTTTTTTTTTGTTGGACAGTCATATCTGTACTTAGTTATCAGCAAGAGCTTCCAATCAGTTGAGAGCTTAGCGGTGGCCTTTAAAAGTGGATCCCACGTAAGTCGAAAGCTCTGTTTTAATCGAGCGATCAAACGAGTAGGAACTCAATATGAGACTTTTTACGATTTTATTGCTGACGCTGATGTCGCTTGTCGGTCGTGCGCCGAAGTCGGAAGGTGCCAAGATCTTGGCCACATTTACCTTTCCCGGCCGCTCTCAGTATATCTTTGCCGAGTCGTACTTGAAAGCTTTGGCAGCACGGGGTCATGAGGTGACAGTGATCAATGCCTTTGAGAATAAGCCGGTGCCGAATATGAGATTTATAACAATACCCAAAATCCACGAACATTACGAGGGTAAACGACACATAAACACTTAAATCCAATATTCTGATAAGTTCAATTTCATTTATAGAAATAATCGGGCTTCTGTCCGTAAATGGATATTGGAAGAAGCAAATGGTATACAGTTCGATGGTATCAATCGTTTCTAAGTGCTTCTTTCAGGATGAGAAAGTGCAACAGTTAATGAAATCTGATGAAAAATTTGACTTGTTAATTGCTGAGGTACTCCTAACGGAGTCAGTGTTTGGACTTGCCCAACATTTCAATGCGTCCCTCATGGGCTTCTCCACTTATGGCAACGATTATTATATTGATGAACTATTGGGCAACATATCGCCGCTGTCCTACAGTCCGCTAATCACTTCGCCCAGGTGCAACCCGATGAGTTTCTACGACCGTCTAGAGAATCATTTCGAGTTTTGGATAGAGAAAGCAGTATACTGGTTAATACACCATCCCAAGATGGAGCTAGAGTATGCCAAGTACTTTCCACAGGCCACAAAAACACTCAATGAAGTCCTGGACAGCTGGTCACTTATATTGTTGGGTCAACATTTCTCACTAAGCCACGCACGTCCCTATATGCCCAACATGATTGAGGTGGGGGGACTGCACATCTCTCACAAGCCGAAACCCTTGCCCGCGGATATCAATCAGTTTATTGAGTCATCTCCAGATGGTGTCATCTATTTTTCACTGGGAACTAATATTAAAAGCAAGGATTTGCCTGTAGAAACTAAGGATACACTATTAAAAGTCTTTAGCGGTCTCAAGCAACGTGTGCTCTGGAAATTTGAAGATGATCAGTTACCTAATAAGCCCGATAATGTGCTCATCAGCAAATGGTTTCCACAGCCCGACATCCTAGCCCATCCCAAGGTAAAACTCTTCATCACCCATGGCGGTCTCCTAAGCACCATTGAGAGCATTTATTTTGGCAAGCCTGTCCTTGGTTTGCCCGTCTTTTTCGATCAGTTCATGAATGTTAAGCACGCCGCACGTAAGGGTTTCGGACTCAGCTTGGATTTGCTGAACCTAAAGCAATCCGAGCTGGAGCAAACGATAAATACACTGCTAACGACGCCGAGTTATCGACAGGCTGCTTCTACTCTCTCCAGTCTTTATCACGATCAGCCAGAGTCGACAATGGATCGCGCCATTTGGTGGACTGAGTATGTGTTGCGGCACAAGGACGCTTCCCACTTGCGAGCCCCATCGCGAGACATGAACTATGTGCAGCTACACAGCTTGGATACTTTGGCGGTGCTCTTGGCCGTGCCCTTCACATTGCTGTTAATGCTGATAACATTAACGTGTTGGCTACTGCGCCTGCTCGTCGGGGCAAAGAGAATGCGTGGCGATAAGCAGAAGATACACTAAATATTTGTTTTGTGATAGTGTGTTATTGGGTGGTGTTCTAACCACTTAGACTAATAATACTTTTGTTATCAGTTATACAAGAGCTAAGTTTTATTGTGCCTAGGTCACCAACACTGTTCCTTTCCATCTGATGTGTTATAGGTACATGGCTAAATTGACTAGCCTCTTGATAGCGATCAAGAGAAGCATATCTACTTTATACAATTTTTACTCATTCATAATACATTTATCGCGTAAGAGTAGAGAAATTTGTAGAAACCCTTAAATTTGATTTTCAATTTTATTTTATTTTATTTTATGGAATTCAGCGTAAATTACAAATAAACTGTCTACTGCAAACACGTATAGCAAATTTACAACTGATTCAAATCAAGAATTGTTTAAGAGTTCAGCAACTACACAGCAGGAGCCGAATCTGCTTGCAATTTTTGTCGACCTGGCTTTAAGCATACATATCAAGCGGCACATTGAGCAGCTTTAATCAAATGAAATCATTTACATTTGCATGCCAATAAGGCCAGCTGCAGAATTTTATGGAAAATGCCAGCGTTAATAGCAACTACAGCAACAGTAACAACAACAAATAATAGCACATAAAGCTCATGAATTTTTGATTACGCATTTGGCGATGCGGCCAAAAATACCCGTCGCACATACAACGGAAGTGCTGCAGCAATTTAATATTATGCATACGCCACCATATGCAACTGATTGGACAGCGGTTAATGCATATTTTTGGGCTACCAACATAATAATGAACAGCATAGCAATGAGCCTGATTTATATGACCCTTGCCACATAATATCACATATATTTAATTAATTTGGTTAAGTTGCTGTTCCAAAAATAAAAGATTTTAAATGCCGAACTGATAAAATTTTTATATTTAAATTGAGCTATTCATTTACAACAATATTGTAATATGTAATATGAATCCCCAAGCGAAGTTTCGCTTAGTGATTCTTTAATTTCTGTGTGCTCGTTCCACTTTGACCTCTCAAGCATCTGAGCAATTTAAACAGCACAAAGGAGATCGCAGCAAGTATTAAAGTGGCCACAGCCAACAGCAAACCAATCACATCCAGACTGTGGTAAGCAATAAAGCTCAAGTCCTGTGCTGCCACACGCATATGTGGAGCACCCTTGTGCCGCAGCACATACTCCGTCCACCAGATGGCTGTCTCCTGCGGACCCATGGGCTTATCGTGATAGCGAGCTGATATTTGCTGTGCTCTTGCCGTAAATTGTGGCTCCCCAATCAGACGCTCGATGGTCTGCTTAAGCTCTAAGGCTGTCATCTTGCTGTGATCGAGACTCAAGCCGAAGCCTGCTCGCTTGGCACGCTCCACATTCTGAAACTGATCATAGAAGAAGGGCAAACCAAGCACCGGCTTGCCATGGTGAATGCTCTCAGTGGTGCTCAGGAGGCCGGCGTGTGTAATGAAGAGCTTCACATTGGGATGTGCCAGGATGTCGGGCTGGGGAAACCATTTACCAATAAGTACATTAGCCGGCTTGTTGACCAGCTGATCATCCTCAAACTTCCAGATTACACGTTGAGGTAAACTGGCAAATACCTGAAGCAGCATCTGGCGCCGCTCCAATGGCAGACTATTGCTCTTAATGTTCGAGCCCAGGGAGAAGTAAATAACACCCGCCGATCCAGCGCCCACAACAAAGTCTTCTATACTCTTGGGCAGTGGTGCTGGCTTGTGTGAAATATGCAGTCCTCCCACTTCGATCATATTCGGCACATGCGGACGGGGATAGCTCAATGAGAAGTGCTGATTGAGCAGCATCAGCGAGAAGTTCTTGCTCACCTCCATCAAAGGTTTTGATTTGGCAATATGCGGAAAATACTGTTCATAAAGCTTCACCTGCAGTGGCAAATGCACCAGCTTCCAATTGAGCCAGGCTATCGAGGTCTGTAGAAAATTGCGTACTCGCTCGCCGAACGTCATGTGATCGGTGAAGCCTGACGTCGGGAGCGGGGTAAAGGAGAGTGGAGAGGTGTTCCCCACAGTTTCATCGATATTCCAGTCTGTGCCGAAGGTGGAAAAGCCAATGAGTGGTGCATTGAAATGCGCCGCAAAGCCATAGAGCGCATCCGTGCGAAGAACCTCAACAATGATCAGATCGTAGTGATCCTTGCCAGGCTGGAGTAGCTCCCGCTGCACTTGGGCATTACGAAGCACAGACTTTGTAGTGCCGATGAAGAACGCGTTACAAAAATTATTTTCCTTCCACAGATTCATTTCATTACTCAATTCAGTTATTAATTCTGAAACAAGCAAAACATATTTTTGGATTATCCAAGAACAATAAGTTTGAAACAAAAACGGATTCTGAAAACGGTACAAAATCTTCGCACAATTTTTAATAATTTTGCAGTTGAATTATTTATTCATTTATATGCACCTTCGTAAGATTCAATTACTTCTGGCACGGGAATGTCGCGAAAGTTTTTCACTGGCTCCTTTTGGGGAAATGCATTGACTGAGGTTATTTCGTGACCCCGCGCTGCGAGTCCTTTCAAATACGGCAGCACATTAATGTACTGCGAGGGACCCGCGAAGGGAAATATGGCCAGTATGCGTGCGCCTTCCAGCAAATGTGGCAGCATAAAAATTAGCACTAAAGCACTGCTGAGCCGGAGTGAGAACATTTTTAAAAAACGTCTGCCGCGATCAATTTCAAATTTTCAACTGAACTGTGCATGTAGACAATGTTAAATTCAAAACGTTTTTCAGACAGTCAATTTTGTTATCAATGGCGATTATTCCCATTTAAAATTGTATCCAGAATACGCTGCCGTCTCCGTTCTCGTCTATCTGAATTTATTACAATGTTGTTGTCCAACATTTCTCAGCAAAAGATTACAAAATGCAAGTCACGATGATTGTCGACAACAGCACAGCGAGGCATTTTACAAAATTGTTGCAATTGTTGTTACTTATCATTACTGATCGACTCCGAAGTACCCCGTATGATCTTTACAATTTGCATGTTGCATGTTGAATGAAAGTTGATTCAGAATGTATTTTGAACTTGGGCTGAATAATAAAAAAGAAAAATTGTGTTCACGTTAGTATTTATTGATTCATCTATAATGTTTGATATATTTTAATTACAACCTTGAAAGCATTCTACAAAATTCACATAGAATAAATCTGTTTAAGACATAAAATAAATATAAGCAGATATTCTTTAAATAAAATAAATAAAAATAAGCAGATAATTGTAAGTAAAAACTTAAAGGCAATAATTATTAGTGTTGCCAATTACAACAATTTTGAAAAATCTCCAACAAATAAAATATATGCTATAATTTCATTGCGTGTTATTAAGTGTCTTGGCGTTAGCGTCTACTGTGTTTTTAGCTTATTATTAGTTTTCCAACGTCTACACAGAATATAGCGTAGTATTCTGAGCACACGCAAAAGCACAAACAGAATCACTAAAACGAGCAGTGAAACGATGCCACCGAGCAGACCCCACGTGTCCAGGCTGTGCAGTTGCAACAAGTTTAGGTCACGCGATGCTGAACGTAGATGCGGAGCGCCCTTGTGCCGCAGTACATATTCCGTCCACCAGATGGCGCGTTCGAGCGGGGTATCCTTCTGATCGCGATATAGCTTGGACTTTATTTTCGCCGCCTGCGTATAACTAATATTGCTGAGCAACTCCATAATGTGATCGTGCAACTGGGTAGCATTCATGGACCACAGATTCAGGACCAGGCCATAGCCCGCCTGCTTGGCTCGCTCCACATTCAGGTGCTGGTCATAGAAGACAGGCAGACCCAGGACCGGCTTGCCAAAGTAGATGCTCTCAATGGTGCTGAGAAGACCGCCATGGGTGATGAAGAGTTTCACATTGGGATGAGCCAGAATATCCGGTTGTGGGAACCATTTGCTAATCAGCACATTCTCTGGCAGATCGTCCAGCTGCTCCAGCTCGAATTTCCATAGAATGCGCTGCTTGAGACTGCCAAAGACCTGGAGCAACACCTGACGCGTGGGCGCTGGGAAATCAGAGCTCTTAATATTAGAGCCCATGGAAAAGTAAATGACGCCATGGCTGGCACCAGTCACAAACGTGGCCAGATCGTCGGGCAGCGGTTGAGGATCTCGCTCCTGCTGCAGATGCAAACCGCCCACCTCAATCATGCTGGGCAGATAGGGACGCGGATAGCTAAGCGTAAAGTGCTGGCCCAGCAGCATCAATGAGAAACTATCGAGTACCTGCTCCAGTGTCTTACTCGCCTGGGGAAAGTATTGCTCATAGAGCTTCTCCTGGCTGGGCAAATGAACCCAATGCTTATGCAGCCAGCTGAGGCAGGCATCCCAAAGGTTCCACAGCCGCTGCTCGTAGCTCATGTGATCGGTGCGCGAGGACAACAGCATGGGATTGTACGAGAGCGGCGAAATATTCCCCATAAGATCATCTATATGCCGATCTGTGCCGTATGAGGAGATGCCCATTGTTAGTGCTCTAAAGTGCTGCGCCAGGCCAAATAGTGCCTCAGTCTGCACAGTTTCCAGCAGCACTAAGTCAAAGGCTTGCTCGGATTGGAGTAGCTGCTGCACAGCGGCATCATCCAGCACACTGGTCGTCAGCATGTTTAAGAACTGTGTCGTCATGGTAAGAATTGTCCACTGACTGGCCTGCTGATCGTAGTCCGCACTGCCGAAGGCTTGTTTAAATTATCGAATCTGCTCGTTACCATTAACATAAATACATACAGTTGTCGCTTGGAAAATACAGAGTTTTACTACCAACATATAAATCGTTTTTTGTATGTGTTTTATTTTATGTTAACCGATAATTGCATCTACCGAGCGACCCTTGTACATTTGATAACATATTTGTAGGCTATTTCCACTTACCAGCCATTAGCTCATGTATTTTTGTCGCACCGATTACTTTGAAATTGGGATCGATTTGGCTGCTGCCAAATGTATTTATCACAGTTACATTGTGGCCCCTTCTGGCTAGCTCTTTCAGATATTGCTCTGCAAATATATACTGCGATTTGCCGGGAAATGGAAAAACCGCCAAAATCTGTGCAGCTTGCACGCCGACTCCAAGTGCAGCGAGCAGCTGATAGAGCAGCGTTATGAAAAGCACAGAACGAAACAGCTCCATTTGTGTGAATGAGAAACAACCAAATGGTTTTGTGTTTCGTTGAGTACTAAAGTAAAAACGTAAATTGCTTTTAATTATCACCAATTTGTCACCACTTTTTCGATTACGATTCACGAGTCTCTAATGTGGAGGAAGGTCATGAGTTAAATACGCAAACCCGTTGAAGCAGAACGTAGTTTTCGTATTTCTCTTTTAATCTGATGAATTTGTTATTTAATTTAGTTTTGTTTTTAGTTTTTGTTATTTTTTCGTATTGAACATTTTTATGATAAGTGCGAGCCGCGTCGTCAACGACGTTCGTCTGACAACTATTTGATTGATTAAACAGTTGTTTATATTCAGTCGTTGCTCTCTGGCTCTCTCTGTCGCTCTGTCTCTGTCTCTGTCTCTGTCTCTCTCTCTCTCTCTCTCTCTCTCTCTCTTTTGTACCTCTCTGAGTTTTTCTCTCTTCGACAAACAAAATATTTTGCTAGTGAGATATACGCCGCATATATTAGAGAGAATACAGCGATTACCACCAAGGTCTGGCGTTAAATTGAGCGTTAAATTGAGCCACTCCGACACATTTTTGAGTAGTAAGCGAATGTTCTCTAACATATTTTTATAATACAAATTGAATCGATTTATTTTTACATCATTAATTTTATTTTTAGTGCATAATACATTTTTTAGTGCATAATATATTTATCTTATTTAAAATACTTTCCTTAATTTAGTATCTCCATAGAGTCAACTATTCGAATATTTTTCTTGGCAGTCAATAAAATTGTCAGAGGTGCAGATTCGCTTGTGGCATAGTGTATATATCATCTAAAACGATTGGCATTATCGAGTTAACATAGCAAATGCGCTTAGTATATAATGCCTACACTCGTAAAGTACAAAAAATCATATCAACACATTATCTGATTAAATTAGCAACTACAATTTAGATAAGATAACAGCAAATATTTGCTTTTCATAAGTGGGCAAACTATTACCGCCATTTAAACAACTTGCAGAGCACATAAACCACCAAGCCAATAAGTAGTCCAAACCGCGAAAGAACACCGAGTATATTGTCCAAGTAATAGTAATCAAATAGCTTCACTTTGGAGGTGGACACACGCATGTAGGGTGCACCCTGGTGACGCCAAACGTACTCCGTCCAAAAGACAGCCACGTCCAGTGGATGCATCGGCTGATCTCGAACACGCTGCGATAGTTCTAGCGCCTTTCTTCGATATTGAGGCAGGGCCAACATTTCTCTCAATGCTGTCTCAAACTCCAGCCTGGTCAGCGTGCTGATGTCTAACCTCTGTGCCATGCCCTCCACCTGCATGCGCTCCAAGTTGCGGAACTGATCGAAGAAGACGGGAAATCCGAGCACGGGCTTCCCATAATAGGCTGCCTCAATGATGCTCAGTATGCCGCCATGGCTGATGAGCAGCCGGCAATTAGGATGCGCAACGATCTCCTGCTGTGGGAGCCATTCACTCATGTAGATGCTGCTGCTCACATTTGGTCGTACATTTCCCTCGAATTTCCATATGATGCGCTGTGGCAAAGCCTCAAAGGTGTCCACAATTATACGCAGCTTTTCCGCCGGCAGATCCTTGCTCTTTATCTCTGGACCAAGAGACATGACGATGACACCATGTTGTGCCTCTTCAATAAACTGCTCCAGCTCTGCGGGCAGTGTTGGCAACTGCTTGGGCACATGCATGCCGCCCACGTCCACCATGCTGGGGACACTGGCTCGTGCCTCGAAGAAACTGAAGTGCTGATTCAGCAATATCAACGAAAAGTTCTGTCGAATTTCCTCAAAGCTTTGCTCGAGGTGGCCAAAGAAATGCTCGTGAATCGCACGTTGTGCTGGCTGAAAGATTAACCAGTACAACATCCACTCTTCGGACATTCGTATCCAATTGTAAAAACGTTCTATCAGTGTTATGCCTTTATTAAAGCCGGTCCACATCACCGGCTCAAACGTTGATGATCCTCTGTAGCCGACAAATGTCTCCATAGTCCAATCGGAACCACATGTTCCCAGTCCAATTAGAATCGCATTGAAATGCGCTGCCAGGCCAAAGAGCCCATCTGTATTCGATGGCTCCAGCACAACCAGATCATAGCTCACATTGGAATGCATCAGTTGCTGCACTTCCGGGCTCTCCAAAACATTCAAAACAATCTTAACAAAAAAATTGCGTATTGACATGAGTACAACCCACTCAGAAACGGTGTCCCACTGATGAGCATCAAAATCTGGATAAAGTAGTAAGCACACATAACGATGTTGTGTCTATATGGTATCAGATTGGAATAGCATTGCAAAACGTAAGTTATTTAGAAAGCGAAGTGAAAATAGAGATAAATGTATTGATTGACAATTTACGTGGTCAAAAATTGAAAAACCAAATTTGTATTTAGTTGTTTACTATTTTTATTTATTTGGGAACCATAAAGCTGATTGCATAATCATATGAAAAACTGAAGCTTCGACTTACGTCGCCAATTGCTTAAGCGAATATGAGGCATTCAAACTAAATATCAATTTTAAGGTGAACAAAAGATTGTGTTCTATGTACTCTGCCTAATAAGGATTTCTCATTGTTAAATTGTTGACCATTATTAACCAGTAACTGTTTCAATTCTGACCAATACACATTAACTTATCAACTCACCCGAATCTGTGTCATGACGATCTTTAACGAATATCGAGTGGAACTGCTTCATGGTGTCGCAATCAAAGGCATGGATGATGGTCAGCTGATGACCGCGCTCATGCAAGGCCAGCAGATAGGGCGTTAATAGCTTGCACTGTGACAACATGTCAAACGGAAAGACAAACAGTATTCTGGCTGCACGTGTGCTGGGGCACAGGTGCTGCAGCAGCAGTAGTGTTGCAAGAGCGAGACCCCCAACCGGCAACTGCTGCAGCCGCATTGTAAGAGACTTCCAGCCAATAGCACATGCGGAATCAAACTGAAAAGGCCGTTAACCAAAGACCAAAGAGGCAACTATCAATGGCAATGGCAATGCCAGTGATAAGATTAGCAATGCTCTCTCCACAACATAATACCCTCGATAATTTTAATAATGCCCAGTACTGTGTAGAGCATTGAAATGTACGCACCTGGAACGGCACGATGTTAGGGCACCTGGGTGTCGATTTTCTGGTATTAGGATTATGCCTTCAGCTGGCAACGGCCGCTAACATATTAGCCGTATTCGCGTACATCCTCCCCTCGCCCTTCTATCTTGTGGCACCCTTAATGAAGGCGCTTGTGCACCAAGGCCATCAGGTAACTATCATTTCTTGTGGCAATCACTTGGCTGACATTGATGGTGCACATCACATTCGCGTCAGGATGCTGGATCATCTATCGGAGGGTAAGCGGAGTCAGCCTTAATTCCCAAATAGAATTATTGGTAAAGCTAATGGAAATTTACAAAATATAAATAATGAACGGATGTCTTAGGCTTACCCTTGCAGACCAGATAATCTGCTGATAATCTGCTGATAAACAATTGTTCCAAATTTGTAGCTTCAATTCAAATATGGATATTAAAATAGTGGTTCTGATGAAATATACACTTATTATTATCTATGAGATTGTTTGGTGACCAGTTTTATTATTTAAATATGTCTTTCGCTCGCTGTGAGTGTTTTTTTTATACTTCGATATATTTAGAATAGCGTTGTTATGTAATTTTTAAATTCCCTTTATGACTTTAGGATATTTTACAGGTGATACGCATGTGCTGACAAGCTCTAACAATTTCCCAATATCAATCAATTTTCACTTATCAGCTTTGTAATTTTTGACTTATTTTAAAATTCCTTAAAGCACAGTAACTTTTTTTTGCAGATATGTTTAACGATGATTGTGACTGGCAAACTCCCTTTACGAAGTGGCAGGAGGCGTCGATAATAGCGAAATACTACTACAACTCCTCCAGCTATATACTGTCTGATACGGGTGTTCAAGCATTGCTCCATGATGGAAATGCCCAGTTTGACATGGTCATCGTGCAGGCATCGCAGACCGATGCACTCTACGGATTTGCACAGCACTTTAATGCATCCCTTGTGGGTCTTTCGGCGTATGCCACCGCTTGGAATATCGACTTTCTAGCAGGCAATACGGCTCCCAGTATTTACGAGCCCATGCTACCAGTTGGCTATTCAAATGGTTTTGGACTGTTGGATAAGTTGAAGAATTGGATTTATATCACCGAGGAATGGCTGGTGGAGCGTTTTATTTATGTGCCCCCTCAAGTGCAGCTATATAAGCATTACTTCAACCAATCTGCTGAGAGTCTGTATAAAATCCGGCATAGCTTCTCGCTGATGCTAATCAATCAGCACTTCAGCCTAGGCCGCGCCAGATCGAATGTGCCAAATGTGATCGAGGTGGCGGGCATGCATCTAGACGAACCCAGCAAACCACTCGACGCCGAACTGCAGCGTTTTGTGGACGAGGCGGAGCATGGCGTCATTCTCTTCTCGCTGGGAACTGATATCGATACCAAATGGCTACCCGTGGGCCTGACAGACTTGATGCAGCGCATCTTTGCACACTTGACACAGCGCATCGTTTGGAAATCTGATCAAACTTTGCGGCATAAGTCAGACAACATTTACATTAGTCCAATGCTGCCGCAGCGGGAACTACTGGCCCATGCCAAGGTGAAGCTGTTCATCACCCATTGCGGTACTCTGAGCACAATCGAAGGCGCCTTTCATGGTGTGCCCATGCTCTGCCTGCCCCTGTACTACGATCACTTCAGCATTGCGGAACGCATGAAGCTTGCGGGTGTATCACAAACACTACACTATGCCTCAATGACCTTTGAGTCGACAATCGAGGTCATCCAGGAGCTGATTGAGAATCCAATCTATACGCTCAATGCCCAGCAGATGTCTAATCGTCTGAGGGATCAGCCAATGAGTCCGTTGCAAACGGCCGTCTGGTGGACAGAGTATGTGCTGCGACACAAGGGGGCGCCACATATGCGCATCTCTAAGCAGGACATGGCGCTCATGCAGTACTACAACCTGGACTTTGTAACGATGCTTTTTGGTCGCATCGGACTGGCCATATTGATTTTGAGCTGTGTAGTTTTCAAGTTGGTCAGCTACTTTTTGGACCCCTTAAATTTGCGTCTTACTGTGCCAGTTCTCTTGTAAACTTTGCTTATCAATAACAAAGATAAGGGAAAGAGATAGAGAGAATGGGTGAGTGAGAGAACAAGTGCTTGATTTGTTTTGATCAGTAGTGAATTGATAATATACCAAGCCACAGCAAATAATAACAGATACAGCTTCGATAAGCAATTCGACGGCGTAGATATTCAAATAACATAACTATTTAGCGATGCGTGTTGAAGTCAAATACAATTTAACAAATACAGAATTTTACTCTGCCAAAACAAGTATGCGACTCCGACTTACACTGATACCAATCACCTGATAACCGGAGGCAAAGAACAGGGTAGGCGTAGCCAAGAAATTCGTTGTTTTTACCTATTTCTGAAGGTTATTTTTTATTTACCTTCCAATTTGGATAGCTGTAGCCCTTAAATTATGAGAGATATAGACTTTTCCGATTTTTAGGGGCGGAAGTGGTTTTGGAAGAGACATTTTCTTACCAATCCTTGGACGAGATTCCCAGTAATCTGCATTCAAATTTTGGTAACTTTAGCTTAAAATTTGCGCGGGATTTAGAATTTGGCGGTTAGGGACGTGATCCCACGGTTGAAGGGTGTTACTAGTAATATACATTTGAATTCAATTGATTTGATCAACTAGGGGCGACTAGTGGATGAATCAGCTCAATTCTAACACTTATTCTGACGCGGTTATCGGAGAATAGTAATGTAGTTAAGTTTTTGTGCAATAAATTTTAACAAAATCAGAATATTAAAACAATAAAAGTGAGATCATTTTTGTGCAGCATTGAGATCCACTTGATACCAAAAATTATATATAAAAGTAGATAGATGAAAATCAGTGATCAATTGATATCATGTCAATCATGGCTATTTTGTACAATTTAGAAGTGTAACTTTGAGATAAGATAACTAATGTTGTGTTCCAACAAGAAGGCGGAATTTGTGCGTATACCCTGAACCGATTAAAAATGGGTAAAGAGGGTATAATGTTTTTGTGCGAATGTATGTAACAGGCAGATGGAGGCATCGCCGACCCCATAAAGTATATATATTCTCGATCAGGGACAACAGCTGAGTCGATATAGCCATGCCCGTCTGCCCGTCCGTCTGCATGAACACGCAGATCTCAGAGACTATAAAAGCTAGAGACTTAAAAGTTGGAATATAGGTTCTGGTATACACAGTGCATATCGATAACTGCCACCGTTTAGTGAATATCGATACATTTAAATTTGCGATAGGAAATAATGCTACAATTTTAAAGGCAGAATCTTCTAATTTATAGAGAATATACAAATGCATTTTATTGATCAATTTCCCAAATTTCAACAAGATCGGAGCCAAATTTTTTAGATGCAAATTTTCCAATAAATCTAGTATATATTTAACTGAGTTCAGGGTATATCGTAGTCGAACTGACTCGACTACAGCACTCTTACTGGTTTTCTAGCAAAATTGTTATAACTAAAGCCATAAATTGATTGTAGACTTTTTTTAACTGTAAGTAGAACAAAGAAAAATAATTGTGCAGTCATAATAAAAATGGCACTAATTTTAAAAAGAAAAAAAGAAGAAGTTACTAATATCCTCATAGAGTTTTCTTATACGCATTTCAAATGCGAGCATAATGAATATTATTGCTTCTAATTGGCTTATTGAAGTGGTAGTAGCCAAAAAAAAGGGTCAACCATCCAAGTACACTTTGCAACTGCCACGTATATTCTAATTTGAAAAGTTTTCTTTATCGTGCGGTCATTATCAATCCATACCTTTGGTCAGTCCCCCTTTCCCCTCACCATCGCTCATTTGCATCCTGGCCATAAGTATAACCGCGCTCATTACGCATTTTACATCAATCAGCACGTGCCCAGCATGTTTTAAACTCTTTCGCAACCATTTTTTGGTTTTGTATTTTGCCAAAGCTTTCCTTGCTAACAAAATAAAAAAGAAAGGGAGAAAACATTAAAATGCAAGTCGAAGCCGGGGAGAAAAGTGCGCACAATTGCGTTCACAATTGCTGGGTAAAATACCCAGAAACGTGGCTGGGAACAAGCAGCGGACACTTCCCAGGCGACGGTATAAAATTTCTGGCCATTGAAGCGTTATCTGACTGTCTCTGTCTGCAGCCAAGACCCTATAGTACACAGCCAAAACAACGGGGCGGACTCGGAAACCAACTACAGTGAAAGCTACCTAAGGGCGACAAATGTGCCTTAAATAAATGAAATGCTTGAGTGACAGATGACAAACTGGCAGAGGCAAATACTAAAAATATTTTTACTCTTTTCCATTTTACGTTTCTTTTAGTCCATTCCTACTGCATTTGCCGAACCACAAAAATATAATAAGCTCACTTTGAAGTATCGCAGTAATAGAAAAGAACCAAATTTATCAAATTTATGTTGTTCTAAGAGTAAATGTGAGCCGAAATTTAACATGTAAATAAGTTTGCCTCAAAAGCGACTGATGCCCCCAAAGTCCTCCAAAGAAGAAATGTGCGCAACGTGTTGTCAATTTGATGTTTATTGCATATTTTTATTTGATTTTATGCTGCAGCATTTGAATTTATGTGCTGGCTATCAACTGGCGAGTGTCTAATCCGAAAATTCTTGTGAAATTGCCAAGTCCCTGTTGGCCTGTGTATCGAGCTAAGCCATTTTTATTAGCCATTTGGCAGGGCAGCGAAAAGTTTTTGGTCAATGCTCAAGTGGGCGGCTTTCATTGGCGCTTAACTAACTGAAATTAAGTAAACTTTCTTTTGACTTTCATAAGCCTTTTAATAAGCCATAATCCCGCAGGCCTTCTCCGGATTCTCTGGATTGTACACGCACATACAATCACAGAAGCACACACACACTCGCACACACACTCAGACACTCACATGCATATCATGAAAACTAATTAACATTCTAGGGGGCCATGAAAAACGCATGCAATAAATATCATTAATGGTAGCAAAGAACTTTATTAAAAGTACTTTTAATCCAATTCCAATGGGGCTACTGTTGCTTCTGCTTTTCACTGGGGATAACATTTGAGGCCTGATTAACTTTATAACCCGCATGAGGGGCGAGTGTTGGCAGTTGCTTTGTAACCATGCTATCCACTGATTGTTGCTACCTCAAAAGAGTTATGAGTGCCTTATGAGAACTGGTAGTGATACACTCGTAAATCCCAATTATATCTTGTGTATAATGACACAGATCAACATTATTTTGGGGCTGACTATCAATCCTGTTCCAATACGTATTCCTAGCGTTAGATTGTGTTAGTAAGAGTATTTAAATGTCGGTGCTATCGATGACACACATTTCATATCTTGTTTGTTAGGAAACTTGTGCTGCAGGCTTTTAATTAGCGTCTGCCGCCTTAGTCCCAACGCGCATTACGCATACGACGCGTTGGCCGACGCTGCCACTGAGTCAGGCAGCCAATGACGCGGGCGTTTGTCGTGTTGCCTGTTGTGCCTCTGGGCGGCTTGGGCACGATTTTAATTAATTAGACTTTTATGAGGCGTGCATGCAGCTAGGCGACGGGTTAAAGCTCTGTTATTGTTTTTGGCTTTAGAAGCGACTTTGTCGTGGTCGCGTTTTCAGGCTTAACACCAGCCATAGATGTAACGCATATACACACACAGTCAAACACACAACAACAACATACACACACACACATGTGCTAATATAAAAATTTAGCGTTATTTTTGTTGGCAGACTGATATTTGGGGTGACATGTCCGAATGGACACTGTTCGTTGTTCGTTGTGTGTGGTAATGAAAATTGTGGTCGCATTATGCTAAGCATTCGACATAATTGCAGCCAGGATATGCGTTTATGCTCAGAGATTACTTTTTGTGGTTGGCCGTTGACCAAACAACAAACACAACAATGGTAAGCGCATATCCATAATAAAAGCCAGACGATGTCGCATTTGTATAAGGAAATAAAATTAATACCACTAATTCTATGTGTGCGTGTGTGTGTGTCTGTGTGTGTGTGTCTGTATGAGTGTGAGCCGTAGCTCCTCTGCTTTGTCCTTTGTATGTTGTTAGGCAAATTAATTTCCACTTCTTTTTTTTCTGTGCTTGTAGACGACAAATTCGGAGTTGTTTTTTTTTTTAAGAAGCTGGGACCACAGTTTGCAGTTGGAGGCTTTGCCGGCTTTGTTAGCCGCATTTGCTGTGGTTACGCAAACAATTTCCCGTCTCTGTGCACTTGACTGGAGGATTGTGGTAAAATAGTTTGTGCTCAGGTTGCAGATTAAAATACAAGACGCATACAAGCGATAAACAGAAGATGTTATGCCAAAATAATTTAGAGGAGGGATTTAAAAGGACAAATAACAATTTATAAACTTCAATACACTTTGAAGCATTCGAAGTTACTCTTATTAAATTCATTTGAAGACTTTAATTCACTTTGTCTGTGGTAGCTGAAACAGATATAGAATTAAAGCTCGCTACTCGTACATAAAAGCGAAAGAGACCTAAACAGACTTATGAGCATAGCACAAAAAATTAAAATACCTCGAAAGCTTATAAAAGATATAGAAGAAAATTGAAATGCATAAAAATGTTTTTTAAATAATAATTAAAATGCACATAAGAATTATGCGTGGCAGGAATAAAAAAAACTTTGGTCAACATAAAAAAGGGGAATAAAAATAAAAGAAATTATTGTTATGATTATTATGCATTATGCTGGCAGCAACAAAAGAAATGAAAATGCGACCCAAGCTCCGGCTCAAAGCTATTGCATAGAGACAGAGTTATAAAAGCAGCAGCAGCACCAACAACAACAATAACAAATACAACAAAAACAACAACGTGGCTAAGAAGTAATCCGCTTGTTAAAAATAAACGAAAATAAAACGTAGGAAAACAAGGAGGCGACAGGCAGACTGGGGACTGAGCAGGGCACTAAATGGTGGCCGTGGAGGGGTTTGGTGCTTGCAAGTGCGGGTGGCAGCGCGCAAAACATAATCATCATAAACCGGAAATATCCCGACGGCGAAATCCGCACATAAATTTCTTAAATAGTCTACAATTTTTCGTTTGCCGTTCGGCATTTGCCGTTTGCTGTTTTGTTGCTTATTGTTTGTTATTGTTGTTGTTGGTCCTATTTGTTATTGTTGCTGCTGTTTCGCGTGTAAATACATTTAAGTATCTGCCGCCCACCCAAGGCGACACAAATACAAACACAAGCGCAAACTTGGCCAACTGCAATAAACACACAAATTAACCCCTAATACCAACAGACCAACCGAGAACTGAGAACACCACACCCCCTCCTTCTTAGGACGAGCTAAGGCCCCAACCGAATGACAATGTGGCAGGACGAATGTCCTGCCTCAGCAGTTACTGTGCCACAACAACAACAACAACAACAAAAGCAACTACAACACAAGTTACAACAACACAACTCACATAAATAAAATATTACAATTTTAATTTGTCTCTAATCCCAAAGGGCACGGAGTTGAGGTCGTAGTTCATGGCCCTCTGTTTCCTGGAGGCGTTTTTGTGGTTTGAGTTGCCCCAACTCTCCTCTCGCTCTGCCCCAACCACAGTAACTTTCATAAATTGCCAGAATGCTCGTTGCTCAGTTTTCCCTTAGCCACCCATAAATCATATAAGATATAAACAATTTTGTAGCAGACTGACAGGTAAATACGGTCCGAACTTTAAATGTCCATGCCGATGTTTATTTCTTGATTGAAGACTAGCTCAATCAGTCTGTATTGTAGTGCTGCTTATGACCAATACAAGCTGGAAAATCAGAAGCAAACTTTACAAGTTTTCGAGCTAGTTAAGTATTCTTGCATACTTCCTAATAGCTCAAGTTGTGTGTGCGGCTTCTGTCTGTGGTGCAACTTATAAAATTTAATATACTGCATTGATTTCAATTTTGTTATCTTTTAGTGATGCATAAACTTGTTTTGACATAATCAACCGCGAGTAAAGTAAAACTATAAACTGGTTGACTGTTACGCAAGTAGGTTGCAAAGCAACCTCATCAGCGACCTTGATTACCTATCGTATTTGTACTTACACACAGGAAAAAATCTCCGTAATATTTTTGAGACACATTAAAAATGAAGTGTATATGAAAAACATTTATTGTTTAGTAAAATTCCATTCTAAGATTCTGTAAAATTAGTCTATAGACTGCTATTTTGGAATTTATCTGTTGTCTGCTTACTTGTCTGGGATACTTTATAAGCTATCTAATATTTTTGAATATCTACAACTTTTAAATACTAATGATTAATAGTAATATAGGTAGCAAAAAATATAATGTATGAATTCTGTGTGAATATGTTAAAATATCTAAAAAATAAAACATACATTTTTGTAAATTTAAGAAAAATCTGTCCAGGAAAAAGAAAAGGAAAACCCTAAGAGACTACCTTACGATTTATAAATATAATCTTTGAATAATAAGATGGAATACCCTTTGCGCCAAAAGTAAGCCGATTTTCTCAGATATACTGTTATTTTTGCTGAATGTAGTTTTCTTCAACTGCGTTTGTTTCTATTCAGCCAGCTGAACTTGCTCCTCCTATTACAGTATAGTTTGTTTGCCACTTCGCTTTCTCAATGGCACACAGACACGCGGCGTATACGCAGTCTGGGCAGCCACTTAATGCACTATGCAAAAATAGTCGCAACCGGCGCTAAAAACGGTGATTTCGCTTAGCGCTCAGTGGACGCGACCACATTGCCTGCAGCTGGACTCTTTACCAATACCAAATAACAGCAGCAGGAGCAACGAGAACCTAACAACAAGCTAACAACGAGGCAACAACAACAAGAACAACAACCAGAGCAACAACCAGAGCAGCAACAATGAAAATATCAGCTTCAAAGCTCAACGGCCTCTGGGCAGTGCTTCTGTTACTACTGTTAGCTACTGCTACGGTTGACGTTGCTGTTGCTGTTGCTGCGACAGTTGCCATTGCGATTGCGATTGCGATTGCCTGGTCGCTATTGCTTTCACGTCGCTTTTATTATTTCACGCCATTTCAACAGCCGTGCGGCAACAAGATTATTTATGCGCTACTCGCAGCAGACGATGTGACGCCGCTGTCCCAGGCACGCTTTAAAATGCCCCGGATCCGGATTGTTGTGTTGTGTTGTGTTGTGTGGGTCGTGAGTGAGTGTGGCCAACGCATTTTGTAGACGCGCGTGTTTGGATACAAAAGTTAGCGTATTGCCAGCAATTCATGGCTGAAAAGGGAAATTGGTAGCTGGCATTTTATGCGTTGCCTACTTCGCGGCGCTATAACAACGAGCCAAGCTGCGAACTTATCCCGAACACACCCACACCCGGCACTTACACCAACCTACATCCCCCGTCCTACGCCATGCAACGCAGTTATTGTGATTTTTGGCAATGAATACGAAATACGAAGTGCTTCTCGTTGGTTTCTCTCTTTTGGACTGTTGCTGCTTTTGACAAATGGCTTCGATGATGTTTTTTATTGCGCAGAGCTATCTGCTCAACTTGTGTGTGTGTGCGTGTGTGTGTGTGTATTTACTATATACATAGTTTGTGACAGCGGACACATATATGCAGTCAAAGAAAAGAAATCAAGTAGTCAGTGCAAAGCAGAATAGTTCGGACGACAAACTTAAGTTTTTGAGTATGCTTGTTTTTTTTATTAAATAAACCTATCAACAAAATGAACACAATTTATAGAAAGCTTATTCAGCGATTAAGACTACACTTAAAACATTCCTTTTGTTGTCAAAAAATTTGATTTATTTAACAGCTGTAAGATTATCTGTTGATTTACAGGATAAATCCCTGTTCACAGATCGTCGAAAAATTCGAATATGTTTCGCTTGTGGAACCTAAAGACAAAAAGGACGTTCTTAGAAGCAAAACTATAATGAATTAATTTTCTCGCCTTTGCGGCGCTTATAAGTACATTTTTTTCTTGATGATTCAAATCATTTTTCATTCATAATTTACTATTTGCATCTCGATGCTTCTACAGTGGTTTGGCGATATCCGCCGTCAAAATATACCAGCTGTTTACAGAATCCACACAGGACAGCAGTGAGTTAACATTGTGAATTTGATTTTGCGTAGCGGCTCATGTAATAATGTGACCGTAACTTAACATCTGTACATAACATTGTTATCGACATCGACCGATATCGATAGTG